CAGTTTGGGCCCAACGACGCACCAGTTGTCGTGGCACATGGTCACCAAAGAATTCTTGTCGACCTGTAGCGGGATCGAACATGACCGCTCCATGCGTGACCAAGTTCCCTTCGTCCTCGCAAGCCCCATCGGTGAAGATGAGGATGGGTGGACCATCACCCCACCTCGCTATCTCTCTGGGGCCTGAAGCTTCAAGAATATCAAGTGCAGACTTAGCCGCCTTGAAGATTCCATCAATCGTTCCGGATTGGATGCCATGCTTCTGAGCTTGGCTTATCAGCTGAGTGCAAATCTGAGCGCAACGCCCGAAGACGTGGTTAGTGGCAAACAGCAACCTGCCCTTGAACGATGCTAAAGAACCATGTACCTTAGTGCGATCGGCCTCCATCGAAGAAAGCGATTGCCACAAGGATTCCACGCGGCCCTCTTTGTTGTGAACTCTGATAATGCCGGCCTCGGAGTTGCTTAGGTCCAAGGAAACGCCCAAAATGTTGAATCGCGATTGTAGCGGGTGCAACTTGTCGCCACGTGAAATTTCCCAACCCAACAAGTCCATAAGCCTCTCTGCCGTCTTCGAAGCCGACTCACCAAGCCCCTCAAACTCCATCTGCGTGAAGTCATCGTAATAACTCGTGTTGACCAACCACAACAAACGTGACATCACCAGCTTCAAAGCCTTGGCCGTTCTATTAAAGCCTGTGACACTGCTGACTGCACCAAAAGGCANNGGCCACTGCCTCAAAGTACTTGACCTCGTCATTGGCCTGATCGTACACTGCCAGAACCGTGGCCCATGCATCATCCGGATGTCTAGCCAGTTGCTTGTAAGCTGAACGCAAATCAAGAGCCCGCCCAACAATCTTGCGATCACCTGCACGCGAGAAGTCGCGATGCACCTTGCCGTTGAAGGTTCCTCCGTCCTCCTTTGGCAGCTCAAAGCACTCGCCATCCCCGGACACTGCACCACTGAAGAACCGAGCCGTGGCGACGATCTGATCGATGCCTTCAAGACTAATCTTCTCAGTCTCGGTGACCGATGAATTAACCAAGAACTCTGACAGATCATCGATGGCTCTGATCTTGTCGCCCTGCAAGATGCCAAAGCGCTTGGAGCCTATCCAAGTTCCTTTATACTTAGCATCAATCTCAGACCAGCTGTAAGGTCCCCGCAGCCATCCTTTGTTAACCTGTTCCAGTGCTTCGTCCCAGACCGCAGTTGCCACCTCGGGATCCTTTGCCGCCGCTCTGCAGGATGACGCCACAGTGTGCTTCGCCCACTTCGCCGTCGTTTTGAGGTCGTCATGGGACAAGGCCGCAGGTTTGAGCCTCCGTTGAAAAAGCCCCGAAGGTTGTAGTTCTCCCGTAATCCGAAAGCCACCCACGAGGTCATTCACAAGATTCTCATCCTTGATCCCAGCATCCTGAAGTACTTCTTTGAACAACAAGATCCTCTTGTTCTCCATGACCCTGCGCACCTCCGGGGCCATGCTGGCCTTAAGCTTCTTTTCAGCCTCTTCAAGCTCCAAAGCTCTTCGTTCATAGTGTTCCAACACTTTAGCTCGATGCTTGATCGTGCCCTTCACACCGGTCGTGAGAATGTTGGCCATCGCCTGCATGTTGGAGTCGTCGAGAGCGCTCGGGTTGTCGAAAGGGTGCTTGGCTTTCATCGCCTCGGCCACAAATGCATCAGGTGTTCGGTAAATGCCAAATGTTGCCTCTTTGCACCACTCACCCCCTTTCTGCACTTTCTG